ATGTCTTCTAATGAAAGGCTATGAATTCCAAATGTTAACTAGTATACATGATAATAATACTGGGAAGGGAAAATAATAGCAACCTGTAGGATAATATCTGCCTATAAGGCTCTAAAATTGCAATACTTCAGTATTTCAGATTTAGATTACTGAGTGTCAGTGCACAATCACAGCTCACTGTAACCTTGAACTCCTGGACTCAAGCAATCCTCCCATGCAGGTGGATCACTTGACATCAGGAGTTCGAGACCAGCCTGGCCAACATGGTGAAACCCCATCTCTACTACAAATACAAAAATCAGCCAGGCATGGTGGTGTGCGCCTGTAGTCCCAGCTACCGAGGAGGCTGGGGCAGGAGAATGGCTTGAATCTGGGAGGCGGAGGCTGCAGTGAGCCGAGACTGCCCCACTGCACTCCAGCCTGGGGGACGGAGTGAGTAAGTGAGTGAGTGAGTGAGTGAGAGAGACTGTCAAAAAAAAAAAAAAAAGAGATTCTCCCACCTTGGCCTCCCAATGTGCTCGGATTACAGGTGCAGGCCATCACATCTGGCCCAATTTGAGATTTTCAGTATGGAGCAGACAATGAGGCCAATCACAGATAAGACTGATATCTTCATTAAAGCACACTTACCTTTCACTTGAAATGCATTGTTATAAGCTCTTCATGGTTGTTATACATTTTTAAAATATTTCTTTTAAGAGTATATTCAATCCCATAGTGACGTATTAGCTTTCTCATCTTATAAGACCCCTCTGATCAGTTGACGATATTTTACTTTTTTATATGAAGAGTTTATTAACCTGACCTTTGACCTCTATTAGATATAAGCATAAATCAGTGTCTAGCCATAAGCATCCAAATTGATATAGGTGGTTTCATTAGAACATAAAAAAGGAGAAGAGAGATGTAAATGTTAACAAAGGTCATCTATAGGGATATTCTTGGCATTCTGGTTTATTAAAAAAATAACATTAATACAGCCCCACATACTCTATGAATGCGTACATAAATGAGATGACCTCTGTTCATAAATGCTGATTTGCTATCAAGGGCTAGATGTCTATGATTATAAAGCTATTAGCAATGACGACTGAATTGAGCAATTCACACATTTTCTTACCTGATTTTCTTTGTGGCTACGTCCAGGTAACAATTTTTGTCGAGAGGAATCTAATTAGCTCTAACAGGGACTTTGACTTTATTGTCCTGATAAGTTAGTATCCATAACTGCAAAAATAAGTACCATAAATTACCTGGCATTCTAGAAAGGTTTGGGCTCAAAGTTGATAAATCAAGGCCGGGCACGGTGGCTGATGCCTGTAATCCCAGAACTTTGGGAGGCTGAGGCAGGTGGATCAGGTGTTTGAGATCAGCCTGGCCAACATGATGAAACCCCATCTCTACTAAAAATACAAAAAAAATCAGCTGGGTGTGGTGGTGTATGCCTGTACTCCTGCCTACTCCGGGGGCTGAGACAGAAGAATCACTTGAACCTGGGAGATGGAGGGTGTAGTGAGCCGAGATATCGTGCCACTGCACTCCAGCCTGGGTGACAGAGTGAGACTCTGTCTCAAAAAAAACTGATAAATCAGTAATCCCCTATCTACTCTTCCTTTCATTTTCAACTACAATTTATATCTACAAAACAAACTGATCCTTAAAGACTTTATTTCAAAGTCAAAGCTCTTGCTATTTTAATGCACCAAAATGGCCCATCCAAGTGAGCACATGATATATCCTATACATCTTTCCCATTTCAGAGACTGAAAGAGAGAGCAGGAGGCAGGAAAGAGCAGGACACCAACGTGACAAAATGCTAAAGCCAAGCTATAAATTATCTTTTGGTCATTCTCTGCTGCATTTTGAAAAAGCTGACACAACAGTAGAGCCTATCCTTCCGTTGGATAGATACGAGCATCATACAAAAGTATCCTCCTAACTCACTACCAACAGTGCTGCCCTCCCATCTTTCACACGACTTGCCCAGCAAGAGAAGCACTGCTGGGTTATAAAGACAATGACTGAAAGCTCTGTATTCTGATGATGGGAGGGAGCAGTAAAGACCAGCTTCCTGGGCTCTAAAGTATGCCAGACTGCCGTGCTAATCCTCCCCAAATCCCACACAACGTTTGGGTGGGGGTGGGGAAAAGGATAGAAAACAATCTAAACTCCATCAAGAACAGTAGCTATGGGTTATAGAGTTCATAACATTCCAATTTGAATGAGGGGAGGGGATAACTGAGTAGGGGAAAGACATAGACAAAAGCCTTTAAAACGTATCTTTAAAAACATAAAACAAAAGTGAATTTTATCTCTGATCCTTCTGATGTGCTAACCAACATCTGCCCCCAATCATTTGCCAGCCCTGGCTGCACAGAATGCACAGAGTAGCAGACATTTTCACACAGTAAAGCTGGAAGAGATGCTACTAGAGTGTAAATTACTAATTAGCTCAATAAAAGACAAAGAGAGAAAATACCTGTCACCGAATGCTGTTTACAACTTGGCATATAATAAAAAACCCTGAAAATTTCAGGAGAATGCCTTACTTTCCAGACTTCTATTAACATGTGAATGGAAAAGGGATAGTATTATAGTCTTTAAATAAACAGCCCATGTTCTCTGAAACAATAACACACGACTAGAAAGAATGCTTTCCAATTTGTAATTTTTTCATCCTTACGAAAGGGTGGTGATTTTCATTAGTGCAATCAGCTTTTTTTTTTTTGAGACGGGGTCTTGCTCTGTCGTCCAGGCTGGAATGCAGTGGCTCGATCTCGGCTAGCTACAACCTCTGCCTCCCAGGTTCAAGCGAATCGTGTTCCTCAGCCACCGAGTAGCTAGGATTACAGGCATGCACCACCACGCCCAGCTAATTTTTGTATTTTTAGTAGAGACAGGTTTCCCCATGTTGGCTAGGCTGGTCTCAAACTCCTGGCCTCAAGTGATCTATCTGTCTTGGCCTCCCAAAGTGCTGGGATAACAGGTGTGAGCTACCATGCCTGGCCTACAATCAGCTTTAACAAGGAGCTATATTTCATAGCTTTGATAATTGCTTAAAGACGGAAAGAAAAGGAAAAGAAGCCCACAAGTGACGTATTTTACATTTGGCAGAATACGGTTAATATTCCTTTCACTTAAACCAAGAGTACTTCCTTTAGGTCACAAGTTTATCAAATGGCTAGGCCATCATTTTAATGAAGATTAAATGATGGGGAGGGAGTGAGTTAAATTTTCTAACGTGACAACAACTAAGACTCCCAAAATTTAGGTTTATTTGGGGGTAAGGTAATAAAATATTAAGATATTTCCATTCATCCCTTTACCATATGACAATGACAATCCTATTTGTATTAATCCCAAACGATGTTCTTTTTTTCAGACTGAGTCTCACTCTGTCAACCAGGCTAGAGTGCAGTGGCTTGATCTTAGCTAACTGCAACCTCCATGTTGCAGGTTCAAGCAATTGATTCTCCTGCCTCAGCCTCCTGAGTAATTGGGATTACAGGTACGTGCCTCCACATCCAGGTAATTTTTGTATTTTTAGTGGAGACAGGGTTTTACCATGTTGGCCAGGCGGTCTCAAACTCCTGGACTCAAGGAATCCACCTGCCTCGGCCTCCCAAAGTGCTAGGATTATAGGCGTGAGCCACCGTGCCCAGCCAACGAATATTCTGAAAGCAATATATTTTGCACTTTCATCTTTTCCAGCTCCTCAAAGCTACCTAAGAGTCTTTAAAATATGTATTTCACCTAAATATTTGGTCGTGGTGTTGAAAGGCCCCATGGCTCCTGTTTCTCACACAATAATCACCCATACCTCAACAGCTAGCATGTCCCGAGGACACATCCATGTGTGAGCACACCACGCCACGCACTACAGAGGTTCCCAACAGAGGGGTATGCTATGACACAGTTTCCGCTAACAGGAGAGACCTACAAACCCATCGTTGACAAGTAAAAAAATCTCGGAATGTACTGGAGACAAGACTATAAAAACACAAAAGCCACTCTAAATCCAATCTTGAAATTCCTTTGCTTCAAGTGCTTGACCAAGATCAAACACAAACTAAACTTTCTGAAATATGCAAAACATTCTCCTCTTTTCTTCTTTAAAATTAAGGTCTTCATATGCATTTTCTTCAATTTGATTTGTTTAAAAATACCCGAGAGAAAATGATAAAGCAGATGGGCAAAATGAAAAAAAAGAAAACTGGTGAAACTGAGTAAGGGTATACAGCAGTTTCTCGTATCAGTTTTGCAACTTTCCATGTTTAAAAAATTGTAATAAAATCAACAGTCACCAAAAAATAGAGTATGAACAACAGAAGTTCCCTCATAGCACTGTTTCAAGTTTCAAACAATTCACAGACTGTTAATGCTGGACACCTAGTAAACACTCAGTAATTGTTACTTCTTTTTTAAAATGAGTGGATCAGCTGGGTGCAGTGGCTGACGCCTGTGATCCTAGCACTTTGGGAGGCCAAGACAGGTAGATAACTTGAGGTCAGAAGTTTGAGACCATGGTGAAATCCTGTCTGTACTAAAAATATAGAAATTTGGCTAGGGCTGGGTGTGGTGGCTCACACCTGTAACCCCAGCATTTTGGGAAGCCGAGGCAGGTGGGTTACCTGAGGTCAGGGGTTTGAGACTAGCCTGGCCAGCATGGTGACACCCCATCTCTACTAAAAATACAAAAATTAGCGGGGTATGGTGGCAGGCACCTGTAATCTCAGCTACTCTGGAGGCTAAGGCAGGAGAATCACTTGAACCCGGGAAGCAGAGGTTCCAGTGAACCGAGATCGTGCCATTGCACTCCAGCCTGGGTGACAAGTGCAAAACCACGTCAAAAAAAAAAAAAAAAAAAATCTTGGCTGGGTGGGGTGGCAGGTGCCTTATCCCAGCTACTAGGGAGGCTGAGGCAGGAGAATCACTTGAACCTTGGAAGCGGAGGTTGTAGTGAGCTGAGCTCACGCCAGAAACAGAGAACCAAGCTTGTCTTTAAAGTTACTGATCATGGGATGTTGATTTTTCACTGCTTCCTATTAATCTTCAGCTGAACACAAGTAAACCTTCTCAGGTGTGTCTTACCTTCTTATTGTTCCCTCTCTTATACTCTACTCAATGAAACCTTTCTCTTGAGGGTCACTTTGCTTTCTATATTATACCAGTGTTAACTGACATGGACATATAAGAACTTTTCACACTTCAAATCAGAGCAGTGATTCTCTCTCCTTTTCTTTCCGAGTCAATCATCCAGTCACCTCATGGACAGTTCGGATGTTGAAGTTTTTTTGATTATGTACCTTTTGATAGATTTGCATAAAAAGAAATGTGAAGTTGTCTTTTTACTACCTTTTCATTTATCAAGAGGAGACCTTTGTTGGGAGGCAGTTTGGGAGAACACAACACTTCTAATTTGAATGAAACGAAATCTATTTTCAATGAAAAAAAAAAAGTTCTGTCTCAAAAAAAAATAAAGTTAAAAGAAATGTATGGGGGAATTGATATATCACTTAGACAGGCACACATAAAGAGAAAATAGTAAAAAGTTAGTGAGGATATAAACTGATTTTGCTTATGGATATTTGCACTGAAATATGCAATCAGGAAAAATCCATTTTTCTTCGAACAGCAACAATCTTTCAACTGTAAATGTGTCATAGTATGCAACAAGTCCAGGGCATTTTTCTAGCTGAGAAGGTGGATGGGTAACCTGCAATGCAATAAGGCATTTTTTATGGCTTTGGGGTTGTTTTTTAAATCAATTTTGGAATGCCAGAACCTTGACATAATCTTTGCATTATACATAACCGTTATGGTGTTTACCCCAGGTTCCCCATCTAGAAAGGAATTTTAAAAAGTTAGTAACAGGACTACAGGATAATTTAAAGATTGGCAAACAAAACTTGTTAAGCGTTGAATCTGAAGAAAAGCATGGTGAGGGATGACTTCACAACTGGCAAGCCAGAGGCAAAACCAGTGCACAGACTCTGCTGGCAAAATGCAAAGGTTGGAATCCCATCCCACCACTTGGTAGAATTCTAGCTTTTGAACTAAAATAAAGATTAAATGTATCACTGGGTTACTATTTAAGAAAACATAGTATTATTTGTAATATAAGATAATTAACTACCAAACAAGTAGTTGTAGAAATGTCTGACTATAACCTTGGGCAAGTAATTTAATCTCAAGGACCCTCTATTTCATCACCTGTAAAATGAGAATGGTAATAGTACCTACCTCATAGGATTGCCACTGAGGAGTAAACAAGTTATAATTTGCAGTGCACAAAAGCAGTATATATGTGTTAGCTACTATTATTAAGTTTATGAAGAACTAAGGTCTTATAAATACAATAATACACAGATATTTTTTACTCAAAAATTGAGAATGGGGCAAGAGGAAACAAACACACATATAGCATTAAGCATGTGCTGGTTAGAGAGAAGGCAGACTCTCTCGATAGAGAAATTACTAAATGCTGGCAAAGGTTATCTACAGAGGTTACCACATTACTGCTGAAGATTTATTTTAAAAAACAGGATCAATTTTTATCTACCTGGGATGATGTAAGTGGGATATTGACTGGAGTTGCAGGATAAACTAGAGGTCCTTTCAAGGTCTCTTCCCATCCAAAGAATCTACGATTAACCAGGAAAACATTTAATTATGTACAACCTAATAAATCTAAAAATATTAACTTAATAGCTTTTGCTTAGCAAATAAGATTATAACCAAAATAAAGTTAAGTTGGGTAGAACTGTACTTGATGAAAATATTAAAATAAAACTTAATCATTGGAGTCCTTATTGATAAAGAGTATTATCTGAATTTTTAAAAAACCATTTTTAGTTTTAAAAAAAGCAACTGAGAAATAACCATTGACAATGAGACTCAGTGGTTTAGCACACTAAGGCCATTGCATACAGAAACAAAAGGCAGGACTCAGACTCTTTCCCTTGGTTGATCTTATAGTTTATATTTTCTTCTTTACCAATATCAAATAAGTCTATAATCATTTATGTAAAGATATTGAGCATAAAACAATTACAATCACATTATAAACATGGCAATACCATACAGAGTACATCCTACTACTAACACCAGCCCAAACACATCTATAAAGAGAATATGCACACCATCTCACTGAAACAAGTTCCTCATATCAAAGTTACTCTTCATCTTGAAAGTGAACATTATCAAACTAATCCTTTTTAAATGTAGAGGCAAATATAGTAATTTTTATAAAGATCCTCTGTTAAATTGCTAAATACATCTAGTCACCTTGAAGACTTGCTTAATACAATCCAGGACACAAACCATAAACTAAATACTATGCCACTAACACAGTAGCTGAATGCAGAAAGAGTTTTCTAAATTATTCATACACATTAATAACCATTGTTGCTCATATCCACAAATCAAAATCTAATCTTTGTTAACTATTACAAATATCAAAAGCCTAATCTTTGCTATTTATACAGAAACACCAACAAAAGAATGGCAATCCAAAATTTATGCAACTTTAAAATAAAAGTATCTTTGTGCATCTGAGTGTACACAATGAAATAACCCCAATCAAGATTCTCAACAACAGTTTGCATTTTTCCCTAGGTAAATTACATGCTATCTTTTGGTACCATCAAATGCAAAACAAATATTCATTCATATTCTTAGCTAAATGTAAAAGCTTCTGAATAAAATCATTAAAACAAAATGCTAAGTTAAGAATAACCAAAATTTTGCCCCAAATTTCTTATCTTCTTTTTCATTTCTAATGGTGTCTTAAAAATCAAAAGCTTCTAGAAAATTAATATAATCTGGCCTTCTTTATTCATAACCATAAAACACGAAAGGCAGTGGAGCTGTCCAAAGACTCAGCATGCAATATTATAGAGCTGTTTTGCCATCAAAATTACTCATAAATTCATTATTTACCCTAAAACATAAGTCTGCCACTCTAAAATCCTCCACTACTCTACAATTCTCCCTTTCTTTATTCCATTTTGTTAAATGGGTGAGTTACCAACTACAGCATGAAACGTCCCACACAAAGCTAAAGGCAGCTCAGGAACTCAAAGCCCTCAGCTCTGATTTAAATCTCTCCCCCAGTAAACTTCTTGGTTGGTTATTTGCCTTTCTCTGAAATGATTTCTCAATATTCTCCAGCCACTGAAAACAATAAGCAGAAACCTGGTTGATTAATCAAAACAAACAGATTTTCACCTTTCTATCCCAACAACAGCGCGTTCTCCATTGAAAATGAAAATGAAATGCTGTCCGTAAAACACAGCCCAGCACTTGTCAGGTACAACACTCCTACAACACCAAAACTATCACATCACATGGGTACACGCTAAACAAACACACACTTTCCCCCCATTATCACAACACTAGTGAAATGCAGAGGTTTTCAACACCCAGAGTTTATGCTTTATTATCCATACAAAAATCAAATCAAAATGAGTTTCATTTCTTCAAAGTAGACAAGAAAATCAAATCAAAAGCAATGAAAGGTGGAAGCGGAATCAAGATTCCTTGAAGAGAGAAAGAGCTTTCTGGAATTTCCTACTTTTAGGGACAAAAGGATTCACAGTTCCAACACACAGTTCTCTTCTCAACAAAGAATTCCTTTCCTGCACCCCCCACCTCTGCCCTTACTTTTTTAGTCTTTACCCCCGTCTCTAGGTCCCCTTTCACTCACCATGGTTCCTCCTCTTCTGCACCAAAGGTTCTCTTACACTTGATCTTTCACTACAACATTTGTGCCCTGACCCTTGCAGACCTTCCGGAGCAACTACCTACAACACTCACATACTCACATTCAATTCCCACCCCTGTGCAGTCTACCCCCGTTCTACATCCATCAGGACTCCCCCAGCTTCCCTTAGCCCCCTTCTCTTCCCTTACTCCCCATCACATCCTTTAAATCCTGGGACCCATCTCTTCCTGCTCCTCTCACCGTCTGCTTTTAGCCCTGTCTCTTCACCTCACTGCTTTCACCTTGGATCTTGCTGAACCTCTTCAATTAACGTAATTCCCCAGTTATTCTTGTCCCAGACGGCCATCACTTCTTACACCCTAACTCTAGTCTCCTTTCAGCTCCTCTGGTCCTAGAATTGTTCCACAGACGCCCATCTCTTATCTGTTTCCTTTCGCCCTCCCACCACTCTTATTCCTGACTCCACCTGGTTCCAGTCCAGGTCTCATTTGCCCTCCCTCACTTTACAGAATTTACACCCATTGCCCACCCACTAACCCATTCCTTTCTCAGAACCTCAGCAGCAGTTCCGACCACACCGCTGGTCCTAGTCCTTCAGCTCATCTCGCTCCGCACTAGTTCACACCCTTGTCACGTCTGGCTCTTAATCACTCTCTCTTCCCTACTCCCAACTATTACCCCAGCTCTGCCCCTCCTTGTCTTCCACTTCCAACTCCTACCCCGGTATCTCTCACCCCAACACCACCCCCTACGAAGCTTTCCCCTTCAAACCCCCGCTCTTACACCTAATCCCAGGATCCCTTTTCCCAGCCCTAATCTCATTCCTTGCCCGGCTTCCTTAACGCCCACCCTGGCTTTTGCCTCCTTCCTACCTCCTGGGCTGGCTTTTTCTCACTCCTGCTCTCCCTGGCTTCTAACCCTTTCTCCCCTTAATCCTCCTCATCTCATTCTCAACCCGGTTCTCCCCATCGCCCCCAAGCCTTTCTTCCTCTCTCCCTTCAAGGCTTTTCCCCCGACCCAGTCGTCGCCCACCCCGCCAAAAAAAAAGCGCCGGCGCGCCCCGATTCCCGGCTCTCTCCTCCCGCCGCCCCCGCCCCGGGCGCCCCCAGCCCGCCGGCGCCGCGGTCCCGCCCCCTGCCGCCGCTCCTCCCGCCCGCAAGGCGCGCGCTGCCTTTGTCGCCCCTCACCCGGTGTGTGAGGATTTTGCTTCTTTAAAGGGGAGGGCTAGTGAGCCAGAGACTGCTGTCCCCGCCTCCGAGTCTTAGAATGGGCTCCCTGACCGTCGCGGCCTCCCCGGTCCCGGTCCCCCTACCCCTGGAGATACCCACTTTGCTGCCTCCCCACCTCCTCCGTCCCCTCCCCTGGCCCCCTCTATTTACCGCCATCATCAGCACGCGCGAGCTGTCACCAGGGCGCGAGACAACCGAAGTCGGCCCCGCCCCCTGCCCGCCTATTGGCCTGCCCGCCGGAGCCCCGCCCCTCAGGCCCTGCATTGCGCCAACGGCGCAGCGCTGGGCCGCGACCCCGGCACTGGCACCCTTTCCGAGGGTTCGCGCCGCAGGCGCAAAGTTTAGGGTCAGCCACAAACGCGCGGCCGATTTGAGCCTGGCGTAAGAGGCAGCGGCGTAGGGAGACGTTGTGAATGGCTGGTCGAAGTTTGGTTGAAGCACAAGAGGGTAAATAAGAAGGTTTCCAGACAAAGAGACTCTTAAAGGTACAGACTCTATGTCTGTTCCCTCCTCCTTAAAGGGCCAGAGACGCTCCAGAGTCCATCTCCGCCCCCTTCTTCCTAGAGAACTGTAAAGGCATTTTACACGGGTTTCCTGTACTCTTTTGGGTTCACCTTTAAAACACCTCTCCCCTCCGCGAAGGACAAAGGCTTTCTCACTATCCCGTGCATATGGTTTGTTCTGTTAAAAGACGTTATTTCTGTGTTGTTCCTAAAGCAGCAGCCCGCAAACTGTGGGGTTTCCGGAGGCAGCGTTTGCAAAAGTTACTGTTGGGTCCCAGGCGGGCGAGCACGTGTCTGGCTTTTGCCACAGATGACCCAAGAGAGATTCAGCTGTTTTATGGAAATCCCCCCCAAGGAAGAGGATCGCTGCCGGAACTGAAGAAGGTCAGCAGACTGTGGGGCTTGGGAAATAAACCAGACTGAGTTGGTAGTGGTCCTAAGGACTTATTTCTAGAAGGATGAGGATGGACACCATTGGAAAACATAACAGCCCTTGCGGGATGGTTTGGTGGGTGGGGGCGGTGGAAATGGGTGTCACCCAAAATAAGATCAACAGTTTCAACACCCAACACATAGCTAAAAAGACTTACCTTTAATTATAAGGACACGTGAAAGAAACAGACATTAGCTACAGTAGTGGCTCAAGTTTACACACCTGTAAATAGGAGAACTAGGTAAGCACAAAAAACACCACCACACACAATAAGAAGGGTTTTGGAAAACTACAATGCCTGGAGCCAAGCGCTGTGAAGGCAATTTATTAATAACCTGCACATTTAAAAGAGGTTTGGTAGAAGAAGAGAAAGTGGAGTGGATTTATCATGAGGTTCAAGACCTCAAGAGTTAGATTCAGAATTTAGCACTCCCTCTGTCATCTATCAGTTAACATAATTCTTTTTAAGGAATTCTTACATTATAACTCTAATTATCTGTCTTATTCCCTTACTCAGCAATCCCCAATAAAATTCTTGGAGAAGAAAGATTGTTACTTATTCAATGTTAGTTCCAAAACAAGGTGCTTTTGAAGAGTGAAGAATTTGGGAGACACTTAAAACTTTTAATGGAAGGGATGCTCCCAGAATAGCAATACAGGAGGAAAAGGTTCTCAGTGCTCTGAGCATGTATTAGATCAGTGGTTCTCAAAAGTGTGGCCTGGAAAACCCTAGGGATCTCTGAGACCCTTTGGGCTAGGGGGACGGGGTGGGGGTGCCTGAGATCAAAACTATTTTCATAATAATACTAAGACATTATCTGCATTGTCCCTTTGATAACATTTGCACAATGACACAAAAGTAGCAATGAGTAAAAAACTGCTGCCTTAGCACAAATCAAGGTAACTGCACCAAGCTGTACTAGAGGTCAAGGTATTCTTCACTGCCACAGTAAAAAACACCTGTTTCAGGATGGGTACAGTGGCTCACACCTGTAATCCCAACACTTTGGGAGGCCGAGGTGGGCGGATCACTTGAGGTCAGGAGTTCAAAACCAGCTGGCCACCATGGTGAAACACCGTCTCTGCTAAAAATACAAAAATTAGCTGGGTACAGTGGCATGCACCTGTAATCCCAGCTAGTCAGGAGGCTGAGGCAGGAGAATCGCTTGAACCAGGGAGGCAGAGGTTTCAGTGAGTGGAGATGACACCATTGCACTCCAGCCTGGGCAACAGAGCAAGACTCCATCTCAA